AAGGAAAGTCTCCCAGGGTCCCTCTACAAGACACATTATTTTGCTGACGTGGCAGAGGGATCCCCCAGTAGGCCTCCCATGCCATCAAGAGATAAAACCTTTGGATTCCACCACAAGACGCTTATTTTGCTGACGTGGCGCCAACCCACCCATACCACCCTGTAAGACGCAAGACACAAAGACGCATTTTCGGGGACGGCCCCAGGATCCTGAGGTTCCAAGATCCCTGTCCCCGGATCTCAGAAAGTTTCCAAAAAATGCGTCTTACTGTCTTACTATCTTTTGTCAATAATCAGTAGGGGAATCACTAAGGGAAATAACCTTGGGCTTCACCACAAGACGCTTTATTTTGCTGACGTGGCACCAACCCACTCATACCACCCTGTAAGACGCAAGACACAAAGACGCATGTTTGGGGACGATCCCAGGTCCCTGAAGTTCCGAGATCCCTGTCCCCGGATCTCAGAAAGTTTCCAAATAATGCGTCTTACTGTCTTACTGTCTTGTGTCAATAATCAGTAGGGATCATAACCCATTCCCGATCGGTTCACTAAAAGAGTGTAGTTTGCTGCCTCCTTTTTAGTTGCGAAGAGGTTCAATGCCTCTTGTAAGTCGAGGCACAGGGGCGCACTGTACACCTCGCCGTTGGGAAGATGAGCTGCGTGCAGCCACACTGCCGTGCAGGCCCACGAGCGGTAAGATCTGATTTGCTCTTTGGTGTATCGCCATGGGAGCATCAGTGAAGGGGAGACACTCATCACGCAGCAGATGAGAGGGGTAGCAGTCCCTCGTATGAAGTCCGTATAGTGCGGGAGGTGCTGCCTGCTCGTCTCCTCCCTCCATTGTAGAGAGATTAATTGGGGCATTGACTGCAAAGCAGCGGAAGGGTCTGACATTCTTCTTATCCTCTGGTGAGAGGGATTTCAGCAGGTTTTGAACGTATCACGAATCAGACAGCTGAAACAGCGAAGGCCCCAATTTGCACCTCTGAAAGCACACTTTGGCAAGGGGAACGTGTCTGTTATTGTCTGGTCACGATGCATGTTCAGCATTGCAATATAGCTGATGGAAAGGGTAAGTATTTGTGATCTTGCTTGCTCCTCCCACCTGACACTGTGCTTGCAGCCTTTTTACAGAAAGACCTCTCTTGGTGGTGCAATCCCCTGGGGTAGCCTAACCCTGCTTCTGTCACATGCTATAGGACATGCTTATTGAAAGCAACTCATTAAGAGGTAAGATCTACACAGACTAGAGCTTCCTGCACCAGTCTAGTCACAGGGTCTGAATATGGAAACCCTATCCCCCAGACCTAGCAAATCTCCTTCAAAATGCAGCTCACCTGGTGGAGTTCACAGGCTGTGTGCTTGGAAAAATAAACCCTACCACACAGCTCGAGCTGTCCCCAGCTGCTGTCCCCTTGCTGTCCCCAGCTGTTGTCGCCTTGCTGTCCCCTTGCTGTTCCATTGCAAGAGGAATGACGATGTCATCGTAAATTCCGCATGCAAGCGCAATGGCAGCAGCACTGACCTCAAGCTTGGGCACCTCTCTGCCCCAACCCGTCGCGTTTGAAGGCTGTGAGATTTGTGGTTGTTTGCTTCAGCTAGTGAGTTATGGTACGATAATGAACCGTACGATAACCCGTACAAACAGTTAGATTCGTATTGAATGTTGATCCGGCAACGGTTGCACGGTGCTGAGTCACCAGTCTTGCGGGCCAGCTCACGTTGATGATGACGTAGATACTTCGTCCACATGTTATATTGGTCAACATCCTGGGCCTGACCTTCTGGAGTCCAGATACATGGAAACCCAAACAGAGCCAAACAGAGCCACGCGACAGCCAAATACATGGGAAAATACAAAACCTGAATCTTCATCTCTTCTCTTCTTGTGCTCTGTAGGCGCTTCTCTATACTTCTCTGTACTAAGTTTTGCGTTACCTGCAAAGTCCCATACAGAGGGAAAATGGCGAACCGAGAGCTGAATCTATACCCCGAGTTAGCTGCCATCGATAAGATTAATCGGAGTCAGCTCATCAGAACATGCCCATCCGATGGCAGAGCCCGCAGGTCATTGATGTTGACTGTCCATTATAACAAGAAAGGGATAGTGAAATTCTATAGGATTAAGGGAACAGGTGTCAAACTGCATAGTAAGTCGTCTGTCCGGTCCTGGCTCCATCAGCAGGGGTCGGCCATTTTCGACGAGTTTGACAAGATCAATGTCACAGGGGGTTTCAATGGGAATTATGCGGTGCTAAATGATAGAGATGCCAATCTAGACGATGAGCAGAAGCCTTGCCCGCCTATTGCATTGAAGACAATTGAGGAAGGATGCGAATCCCAAGAGGATCCGGTAGTACTCGATGCCCAGGAGGATGAAGATCCGGTTCCCACCAAGCTGCAGTTGTTGAGAGAACGAGCTCAGCGGCATTGTAGGTTTTTGTGGAAGGTTCTTGCAACTGATGATAGCAACGACCCCCTGTCAATGACCGATTTTGACGTGCTCAGACAGGATTGCATTGAAACTGCACAAGACATGAACTCCATCACGGCAGCCCGCGAGCAAAGGGAAGAGCAGACATCCCCGGTACGTAGTCCGCTTGTGAGTGTGGCTTGCTTCTAGGTGCTTTAGTTTTGCTTGTAGATGTCTTGGCAATGAAGTCTGATTCTTATATGGAGCTGCAGATAACGCACACCGCAGAAGCCGTGGGTGGTCTGTTTCCAGTGGCCACCTGTCCAAACATTGCAAGTATGAACGAAGAAGAAAGTCTCGCTTGACTATCACTCAATCTTTTCATCTAATTTTGGCACACACAGGTTTTGTACGACTTCTTGTCTTTTCAGATTTTGAAACATTGGACGAACTTGAAACTAGCATGAGTAAACCTCCACATTTAGGTGCATCCAAATCGACTAGCAAAGGTATGCCATGGTCTTGTGTTGTATCTCCAGCCATATTTTCCCGTGATACCAATCTATGTAAACCTCCTTGGTACAAAGGTTCCATGTCAGTTCAAGCTTGACATACTATCCTTTCAGCCAAGAAAGCCATTGCTAGCGAACGCATGGTCCACACCACTCCAAGCCCTACATACACTTCATGCAGGGAATCTGCCAACCCAGGACATCGAGCTTCAGCGCTACGGAAGACGCATCAAGGAGGGAAAAAAGGTCGCTGCCTGATGGACAATGTTGTGAACATGAAATAGGAGGACCTGCTTCGAAGAAGGGTTGCATCGGTATGAGAGAGGCGTTGGCCGGAATTCAAGGGGTCCGTGCAGACTTGCTAGAATAGCGAGAGTCAATTAGTCCAAAAAATGCTCCGACAGCACGTTCGTTTATGCAAAATGACAATCATGTGCTCCATATCAATTGCTTTTCTTTCGATCTCTGTATACGTATGCTAGCCGGTCGGCTCTTCTAGAGACGGCGGTAGTTGCCTCGAATTAAATTATCAGTAGAGCCCACTAATGCAGGAACTCGCTTAGATCCAACTATTTCAAGAGTACTATGAAAACTTAGAAAAGCATGTTCTGATATATAAGTGAAAACGCGGCCTTGCGACTAGACACATCACACTGAAATTCCTCGCTTCCGGGACCTTATTACCATTTGCGCCAAAAATGTCGCCCGGACCGGGCCATAAACTATAATAATAAGGAGCTACTATGCCCGGAACGCCTCGCGCATCAAGTTCTCGACCTCGTTCAACTGATAGGTCCAGACGTCGTATGCCTGTCCGTTCCCGATCTCGTTGGTGCCTAGGTATGCAGCTGAGAACTTGATGCGGTTGTTTGCCAGCATCGTTGCGTCTAGCGGGCCCGAAAACGTGGACGTGTGCGGAGCCCCGTTCTCCGCGACCGTGCGCTTCCACGACTTCTCTCCTGAATTCGAGACGAGCTCCACGATCTCGCCCTTGCCCGGCTGGCTCTTCCACATCCTGCCGAGCTTGCTGCCGACGACCGAGAGTCGCGCCGTCGCCAGTTGGTCGGCCCTCAGACCCAGGATATCCCTGCCGAACTCCTGGACTGTGACGCGCCGTGCGGCGGCTACGAGCCGAGGCGCCACGGGTGGCTCGATGCCGGGATCGGATGCGGGGCCGCTCGGTCCCAACACCGCGAGGCACTTGACGGCGAGGTTGTGGCGCGCGATGTTGATCATGCCGGTCAAGGCAGGGGGTGCGATGCCGGACGCCAAGCCGTCGATCAAGCGCTTGCTTCCCTCCATGAGCTCCCGAGTGCTCTCCATGCGCAGGCGAGACGTCTCCGACTGCAATTTCGCCAACTCATTGGCGTGATTCGCCATCTCGTTAGCGTGCTTCGCCATCTCATTAGCGTGCTTTGTCTTCTCTAGCTCGATCTCGTGCGTCACCTTCAGGCGTTTGAGGGCTCTCGAATCTTCGTCCGTCTCCTCGGGCGGAACAGCGCGCTCGGCGACGGTCTTGGCTGCGGCCCGAGACTCCTCAGTGGTGACCTGCCCGGTCAGGTAGCGGAGCACGAGCGCAGTAACCTTGACCGCAAACGTGGGCGAGCACCAGGACGCCAGGTGAATGGCCAGCTGAGGGTGCACCCATGTGCCCCTCTGGTAGAGTGGACCATTGGTTATGGACTGGACAAGGTCAGCTATCGGAGTATGGAGAGATGTAGCCAGAGCGGTCCTGAAGGCCACGTTCCCTTCGACGGCGTTGTAATGTCCCCACATCTTGCCCGCAGACTGGCACATCTTCGTGGCGGAGACGTAGCCGTCGCTCAGGCGCATCTCGGTGATCATGCGGCCGTCATCTCCCCGCAGAGCATCCACGAAGTCCCTGGCCTGCTCGACGTCCGCTTCCGTCGGAGCGGCGACAACCTGCTCTCGAACGGCTTGACAGCGGCTCATGTCCACCTGTCGAGGGTCGTCTTCGAACTTCCACAGGCGGCCATCGCGCAGGGCGAGGTTGGAGGCGGCGAAAGCTACGCTCGCCGCGGGAATACCGGTAGCCTCGGAAGCGGCACGTTTGCTATGATACCGGGTCATGGTGCCGGTCTCCGAGACGGCGAGGATGGGGCGCGACGCCGGCGCCATCTTTCCGAGAGTGGATTCTTGAAATGAATGAATGAGCTTGCTGGAAGTTATTTTAAAGGATTTTGAGCAGACTCTTCTGCGACAAGTCCATGTAAAGTACAAGCTGCTTAACAGTCGCTTCCTTGCCAGTCTGACATGTAGTTATCCAGTGGCCATTGCGGCGTTCGCATACGTTTCTTTTTGTGCACCGTGTGCGATACGTTGCTTCCAACTTACCATGCTTTCACGCAAACGTGGGTGAACACCAGGACGCCAGGTTGATTGCTAGCTGAGTTTGCACCTAGGTGCCTCTCTGATGATTTGGGCCGGCCATTGAGGACGAGGTCAATGGGCCTACCCATTGAGCTAGCTATAATGTGCGCAAGCACCAATTACGAACGAAGAGAATCATAGCTCTCCGCATCTTTTCGTGGATGCTCTGCGGGGAGATAACGGCCGCATGATCACCGAAATGCGTTTGAGCGACGGCTACGTCTTCGCCACCAAGATGTGCAAGTCTGCTGTGATCCAATATCGTAGGTGGCGCCCAGACGGCGCGCGCTTCGAATATAAAGACGGACGGCGTCCCAGTAGTCGATTCTAGCGAACCCGAACATCCTGGGCACCACCGAGTTGTATGAAAGAAGAAATATAGCGGGGAGCCGCCACCACAACTTCGACTGCGTCCATGGCGCGCAGCTTCGGAACCTACGGACTTTTCTTACGCAAAAGTTGTTTGTACGTTGTCCTTCCTTAAGACATGCCATATTTACTTACTCGCTTCCGCTTCTGCCCTACTTGGTCGCCTCGTTCGTCGCTCTTCCATTTGTAGCCATTATAACAGATGTGCTCCACGGTGATCTCTCTATCAGGCACGTGAGTGAGATGGTATCGTAGCCGTTCCATGTATGCGCCCATCCGCCTGTCCCACGTCGTCTGATCTCGGATCACCGGCACGCCGTATTTGTTGTACTTGAAGCAGCTCGGGTGCCGTACGCCGTTTTCTGCCGTGAAGCCGTCTGGGTTGAACCTCAGCTGGACCTGGGGACGGTTGCCCGCATCCCGGAAGAGCTCCATCAGCCGCTTGTTTTCGCACGTGTAGTTACGGTGCTGGTCCTCATCGTTTTCGCAGTGCACCGTATGAGTGTACATGTCCACGAAGATGTCCGGCTTCCGCCCCGAGCACCCCCCTTGAAGCCTCTTGTCGAAGGTTACCTGAGAGTGGTTCGGGAGGATGCCAGCCGCTTTGATGTGGTCCGTAAAGTGCTGCTCCTTGACTCGGTAGTTGCGAGAGACCTTCTCGCCCGGGTGCAGGTACACGAAGCACCTCAGGCAGTATCCTTTGTAAGGCGTAGATTTTGCCCTCGTACCACACCCGTTTTCGCACATTGTATTCACCACGTCGACCATGCCGTCGGTCTTGCATGCGGCGCAACGGGTGGGTCTCTCGCCCACCAGCCCGAATCTAGGCTGCGACCTCTTGCACATGCACTTCCTATGAACCACGTCCATCATGCCTTCCGTCTTGCAGGCGGCGCAACGGGTCGGCCTCTCGCCCTCGGCTCCAAAGCTAGGCAGCGCCCTCTTGCAGAGGCACCTCTTATGAACCAAGTCCATCATGCCTTCCGTCTTGCAGGCGGTGCAGCGGGTTCGGCCTCTCGCCCTCGACCCCGAAGGTAGGCTGCGCCCTCTTGCAGAGGCACCTCTTACTAACCACGTCGACCATGCCATCGGTCTTGCAGGCGGCGCAATGGGTCGGCCTCTCGCCCTCGGCTCCAAAGCTAGGCTGTGCCCTCTTGCAGAGGCACCTCTTATTAACCAAGTTTACCATGCCATCGGTCTTGCAGGCGGCGCAGTGGGTCGGCCTCTCGCCCTCGGCTCCAAAGCTAGGCTGTGCCCTCTTGCAGAGACACCTCTTATTAACCACGTCGACCATGCCATCGGTCTTGCAGGCGGCGCAGTGGGTCGGCCTCTGCCCCTCGACTCCGAAGCTAGGCTGTGCCCTTTTGCAGAAGCACTTTCGGTTTACCACGTCAACCATGCCATTCGTCTTGCATGAAGCACAGTGGGAAGGCGTCTCGCCATTCAACCCAAAAACAGGCCGGGCTCTCCCACATTTACACTTCAGGCCAGTCATCCTCACTTGCTTACAATATGTTGCTCGGTGACAACCGTACGCTTTCTTAAGTGAGAACTTTTTCTAATATTGCACGTATCTAAAGAGAAGGGACCGTATGGTGTCGAAAAAGCTGCCTAGTGCTGCGGGGTGATCAGCTTGAGGCCCACGGTGACCCTATGTTGTACGTCTCCGAAATAACGTTTGTTGCCCCCGACCGCGTTGAACCCTAGCTTCCTGAGCCCCCTACTGAACGCGTTGAGCGTCAGTGCCCGATCGCCGGTCTCGCTCCGGTACAGCTCGAAGAGCTCGCTGGTGATCTCGAAGACGTCGGGGTCGTCCTTCCTCACGATACAGCTCTCCTTGATCCACGTCTCGAGGGGAGAGTTCTCCGCGATGTAGGACTTGAGTGCGGCCTCGAACTCGGGGGGCTTGTCGTGGAGCACCAGTCCGTTCCGCTCCTTGGCGGCGTAGAACTTGACGGCGCCCTGGACGAGCCAGTGGAGGATCTCTGCTTTCGTTGCCGGGGTCTTGAGCTTGGTGTTGAGTTCCACGTCCGCGAGGCGGTGCACGGGGTTGGTGGCGTCGAACCTGTCCGCGCTCACGTAAACATTCGGGAAGAGGATGTAGAGGATGCGGCGGAGCATGGCGAAGTCGGTGCCGTCGAAGGAGGGGGCGTGGTTAGTGCAAATGGCTATCTTGGAGATGAGCTTGAAGGAGCGCGGCTTCTCGTACAGGTTGCGGCAGGTCACGTAGGAGTCGCCGGTGAGGTACTTGACGACCGACTCGTCCAGCTTCGCGAGGCTGGCGGTCTCCTCGGTGATGGCCAGGCGCTTGCCCTCGAGCGCGCTCATGTTGGGGTCCGCGGCGCCCCTGGAGGGCGACTTGCCGTCCATGATGACGTCCTTGTTGAGGACCGCGTAGTAGGGCCCCAGGGTCTCCCGCAGGGCGTTCACGAGGACGGACTTGCCGCTGCCTCCGCCGGACGTGAAGACCGTGAAGACGCTCTGGGACGTGTCGCCGGTGATGAAGTAGCCCAGCAGGATCTGCATGTACTCCAGGATGCGCTGGTTCCCGTTGAAGATGTCGCTCACGAAGTCGCGCCAGGCGGTGCTGGAGGGGGCCGCCCTGTAGGGCACGTCCACCAGCTTGGTGTTGAGGTAGCGCGGGTGGTGGGGGCGGAGCTCTCCCGTGCGAAGGTCCACGATCCCGTTCTTGCAGGGCAGCAGGTCCGGCACCTGGTCGAGGGACTCCAGGAAGTCGACCTGCTTCAGGATGGGCTTCAGGAACTTGAGGGTGTTGTCCATGAAGCTGGAGTTGCCGCACTTGCGCAGGTCCGCGAGCACCTTGGCCTTCTTCTCGTGCGGGGCCGTGGCTCTGCGCTTGCTGGGGGGCGCGTCCTCTTCGGCGGCCTCCGTCCCTTCGGCGGCCGCCGCGACGCGACACTCTTGGCGCACGCGCTCGTTGTAGGCGCGGAAGACGAACTCCAGCTGCTCGGACGCGAGGTACTTGACGTCGCTGAGGCCGATCTGTCTGTAGACCGTGCCGGCCCATAGCCAGAACTGGTCGTCCTGGTCCACCACGACGCGCCCACCCTTGACCGCGGCTGCGTACACGTGCGCGGCGGCCTTGCTGCTTTCCGTGTGGACGTAGCTCTTGAGGAGGTGCTCCCCCGTCTGCAGGACGTCCAGGACGGAGTTGTCGTGGATGGAGACAGGGTTGTTGGACGAGCGTTCCAGGTAGGCGCCGATCGAGAGGCGCCCCAGGTGCTGCTTGGCGAGGCCGGAGCAGATGGTGCCGTGGCAGTAGACGAAGCAGTTCCGGTCGATGACCTTGACCGAGAAGTTGTTGGAGCCGGAGTGCCTGACGCCGTAGGTGCACACGCGGGGGCCCTTGACGCGGAACGTGAAGATATTGCCCCGGTACACGGAGTCGAAGACGGACGTGGTGTCCGGGTGGCTCGCGTGGTTCGCCAGCAAATCCTCCAGCTCCGCGATGGTCGCCCTGAAGCGGATGCGGTCCTGGGCCCGGCTCTGCCTGGCGTGCGGGTCCTCGTAGTCGGACGCGTTGATGAGCCGGTCTATGGCGGCCTCGTCCAGGCCCTCTGTGGCGGCATCCGTCTCGTCCAGGACCGGCCCGGAGGGCCTGGTCCCGGAGTCTTGTTGCCCGGCACAGAAGGGTACGTCTTGCATGCGATACAACCTGAAGGGAGCGTTGGGCGCGCCGGGGAGCCGGCTGAGAGTGGAGAGCCCCCTCGCCGGGGCGCCCCTGGCCCCCCTCTGCCGCGCGTGGGAGCCGCCGGACCTGTCGTTCTCGACGAGCACCTCCTCGAGCCACGGCGGCACGTCCAGGAGGGGCGTGTCGCGCGGGTGCCTGACCCACTCGTACCTGAGGGTCCGGCCGTCGCAGGCTCGGTAGGACGAGCCCGGCGCGAAGATGACCCCTCCGTCGCCCCTGATGTCCACGGCGTGCTCCCTGCCCTCGATGGAGATGCCCGCGCGGTTGCCGAGGCCGTATGCCGCGCCGGCTCCCGGGTACCTGTAGTACAGGTGGATGCCCTCCTTGCCCGTCTTGGCCGTCCAGGTGTGCAGGTCCGGCCCGTGGCGCAGCGACCACATCTCGAGGGCTTCCATGCCGTTGACTTTGCTGCCGCCCTCCGCCTCATCGGCGCCGCGTTCCGACGTGTTGTCGAAGTCGACCACGAGGATCCCGGAGATGGCCCCGGTCCGCACGGCGATGGAGTTGCAGTCCGGCGCGAAGAATCTCATGCAGTTGTCTCGGTCCAGGTCGCGCCAGGGGGCCACGAACTTGGCGGTCTTCTCTCCCTGCTGCTCGCTCGTAATGTTGACCGAGATGGGGACCAGCCCGAGGTGGTACAGCGCGTCGAAAGTGCGCGCCATGCCTCCTTCGACCGCCATCTCGGGCTCCCTCCTTGGACGGGGAGATTTTAAACCCTTCCCCTCCCGACCCTCCGCGCGCTTCCTTAAGCCGCGTCATGCGGGGAGGAACGACATGATCTTGCTGGCCGTTCCAGGAGATGCCTGCGGCGGGGGCGGGGCGATGTCCCGGGACACGATGAGCGGCGACGGCCGGGGCGGCCCCCTCTGCTGGACGTACTCCTGCATCCTGGGTTGCGGAGCGGGCGGAGGTGCGCGCACCGGGGCCTCGATGTGAGCCCTGGGCGCGTAGACTACGACAGGAGGCTCCGTGGCCTGGGGCCGCGGGGAGCTCTTGGGGGTGCCGTTCTTCGAGCGAGTTTTTCGTCTCGGCTTGGCCTTGTCCGCCGCGGCCCGTTCTCGCCTCTTCCTGTCCCGCTCCTCCAGCCCCTTGAGACGTTCGGAGGACAGCTTGTCGAAGCCGTCCACGATCTCCCTCATCTTCTTCACCCTCGACGCGATGTCCATGCGGGTGCCCTTGTCGATAGTCTTGGCCTTGTCCAGCTTCGACGAGACGCCCGACGTGAGTTTGGCGACCCGCTTGGCGACGCTCTCGGCAGAGTTCCGGAGGCCGGTCGTCATGCTCCACCGTTGAGTCTCGGCGCACATTTTATGGGCGGGGGCGAACGCGCCGAGTGGCGTGTCTCCTCTTACCGACCGGTACGCTTCAGCGGCAGCACGTCCTCGTGACCCGTGAGTTGCTTCCGGAATCGTCTGACCGACTCGTTGACGAGAGTGCGTTCGAACTTCGGCTTGATCTTCGGGTCGTAGTCGGGATGGTCTCGGTCCAGGCGTGGATCGTACGTAAAGACTTCCACTTTGTCTTTCGTGGGGTATGTCTTCGCGCCCAGACTCATCCACTTGTCGTAGGCGGTCTTGTCGCTGCGACCGGGTTGCCTCATCGCTCCTCGGACGACGGCGTCTCTCCACATGTTCCTCAGGAACGGAGTCGGGAGCAGACCCGGGTAGTGGCGTCGGATCAACGAAGCCTCTTTCTCGACGGTCTGTACGTCCACGATGGCGTCGTGCTTTGCATAGACGTCGATGAGCCTCTTGGCGAACTTCGACTCTCGGTCGTTGAGCGTCCGCCTCTCGCCCTGTTGCGTCCTAGGTCCGCGTGCGATCTTCGCGGAGCGTTTGCGGATGGCGCTGGCCAATCGGGACTTGATGGAAGCCCTCCCGACGCTCCCACGAGGCGCCGCCCTCGCCAGATGAGCCAGCAGGTCGCGCGCCTTCGCACGGGCCTGCGTGGGGGCGGGGAGCGACGAGGCGTACGTCCTTCTCTTGGGGACCGAGCTCTTTCTCTTGTTCTTCGGCGCGGAGACGATGGCGGAGACCACGGCGGAAGCCACTGCCTCGACCAGCTTCGTCGTCGGCTGGATCGGCGTGGGCGCGGTGGTCTTACGACGCGCGATCTTCGTCCGTGGTTTCCGGCTGCCCCAAGACGCTCTTGGTGGAACGGTCGCCCTGAGCTTGGCCGTCTTCGTCCGTGGTTTCCCGGTCCCCCGAGCCGATCTGGGTGGAGCGGTCGTTTTGAGCTTGGCCGACTTCGTCCGTCTTTTCACGCTACCCCAAGACGCTCTGGATGACGCGATCCCTTGAGCCGATCTGGGTCGAGTGATCGACTTCGTGGTCTTCGTCGCAGTCCTACTCTTTTTGGGAGATCCTCGCGTTCTTCCGAGTGCGGCCCTGCAATCGAGGAGTGCCTTCGCTGCCTTGACGAGTGCTGCCGGGTAAGAGGCGGCGGACATCGTTGGTGGTCTCGTTGTATTACATTACAGAGAAAAATTAACGCCAGGGACGTATCCCGTAGTGAGCGGTTCGCTAATGATCTTTGTCCGAGAGTCTTCCGTGATGATACAGGATGGGATCACCACCCACCACGAAAGACGTCGATCGTTCGACCCGTCTGTGAGCAGGGACGCGTTTCTTCCTGGCTAACATGCTTCGGGCCTGGTGCCATATCTTCCGCAGAGTGTCGATCAACTCCATCGTGTGAAGTATAGTATACAAAAAACCATCGAAGAGGATGGTCTCAATCGTCTCCATCTTCCATCGAGACGCATGCTGAGCTGGTAGACGGAGCATATTGAGATTCGAATGGAAGTTCATGTCTGTTCATATACATCACTCCTTGCATCAGAGCGTCTGCCAAGTCGTCACGCTTCTTTGCTTTCTGGAACAGCTCTGACTCCTGCCCCGAAGCCTTCAAATACTCCGTACAGAGCTCCACGGAGGCTTTCTTCCGGGCCGCGTACTTCGTTTTGCCCTTGAGCTCCAGCCTGTGTTCGTACTCCTCGAATTTGTCTCTGGCGCTGAAAGAGTCGATCTTCGCCACCTTGCACGTGGGCACGGCCAGCCTGCACGTGTGGAAGAATGCAACTATCGCGCCCTCCAAGACCCGCATCACGCGCGCTCTCGACGGTTGCTTCTCTATCACAACGATATCGGCGGAGAGCAGCTTCTCCTGCCGCGCCCACAGGCTCTTCGTCACGAGGCCGATGATGTTCGGGTCATTTCCCCTCTTGGGCAGAGGGGTAGATCCGCCATCCTCCTTGATCGCATCGATTACTTCCCATTCCACCACTTGCCCATCCTCCAGGAGGCAGATCGCCAGGTTCCTGTAGCCGACGTCGATGCTCAGGATCCTCATACTTCGTGCCTTTCGTACGGGCCTCTCGTAGAATATGGTTCCGCAGGAAAATTTCTCTCCGAACTGCCACGTCCGCATCCCGAAGCTCGTATACATCATGATTCATCATCCGAGTCGAATGTCTCGTGCTTTGGTTTGACCCAACGCTTCAATGTATCACCTTCGAGTGTGATGTTGTGAATGCTCGCGTACTCTCTCAATTGACCGGGGCGGTTGACGAGGGCTGCGGCCCATTCGAAGATGCTCTGGATTTCGTGGGGTGGTGGAGCATTCACGAAAAGCTCTCTCGATTGAAACGAGTGGTAGCGAAATGGCTTGAGTGTGTGATGACAAAGGCGTTCCGCGTTGGGGGCGTTGGTCACAGCCATCATGTTTTCCAAGTTGAGGAGGCCCGCGTAACGCGACTTGATGTAGGCCTCAGGATCTCGACGCGTGGTGAACCCGACTTTTGTGATCGGAGATTCTACTGGCCTAGCCGAGTATATGAAAACCCCACGATCGAGCTCCATAATCGATAAAAAAAAGCCAAGCGGGACTACGCAAGGCGTGCTAATACTCGGCACCGTGTGACACATGCACACCATTCCATGCGGCCTCTTCCTTATGCCGAAAGCGCCTCGACCATGGACTGCACGAACTGGCGCACCTCGTCCGCATCGCTCTTGTCGAGCCCATTCCATGTCGACAGAAATTGGGTGCGTTGCGCATCGCTGAGCGCAATCCACTTGGAAAACATGGCCGTCTGCTGATCCTCCGGGATGCCCAGGGCATTCAACTGGTCCCGACCGACCATCTTGACGTCCACGGGTAGGCTGACCGAGGCACCGGTGATGAGAGATTGCTTCTTGGACGCATCGACCACCTTCGCCCTGTTGGGGCCGAAGTAGCTCACGGTGGAACCTCCGTCAAGCGTGATGACCGGCGTGTTCGCCAGGCCGAGGATATTGGTGCGCACTGCATCGCCGTATTCGGCGGCATCTTGGACATACAGACGGGAGCCGGGAGTGACATCGATCGCGGACATGATGAATCGGGGTACAAGATAGAGCAGATTATTTTATGAGGCGTTCGAGGATATCCACAGCGAGTTCGGCTATGCGCTCTCTGCTCTCCCTACCGTCCAATACGTACACTTCCGAGAACCACGAGTGAGCAAACTCCTGACGACCGAACCTGATGTCCTCCTCTCGCACCCTACCTTCCAACACGAATCCTACGTATCTGGCGTGGAGCCTACGCAAATAGTCTTCCGACACGATTTCCTCCGCGTCGCGCCCCCTCCGCCGCATGCGCTCTAGGCACGTCTCGGGGTCCAGGTGGACGTAGATGCAGACCCGGGGCATCACCATGTGCGGCTTCATCGACTCGAACATCCGGCGGAAGGCGTCCATCTGGACGGCGTCCATGCTGCCGTCCTCCCCCAGAAGCTCCCCGAAGACGTGTAGGCACGCCAGCGCGCTACGCTCGTACACCTTGATTCCGCGAGCGAGGGAGGGACCCGTCCGCAAGAACGAACAGAGGGCGAGCCCCTGCATCGAAGCCGCGTACTTCTTCGGCTCCGCGTAGAACGACTTGAGCACCGCATCCCAGCTGGCCACCGGCTCCGGGACCACCTCGTACCGCGCGCGTCTCAGGGCGGACAGCAGCGTGCTCTTGCCGCAGCCGATCGAACCCTCCACCGTCACCTCCATCGTCGGGCACGCGACTCACGTACTCCGGCCGCTCCTCCTCCCGCTCTCCGAATCCCAGGTCCGTCCAGTCCACCCGGCGGCCTCCCTCCGGCGACGGCGGCAGGTCTCCCAGCCGTTCCCAGAAGATGCGTTCTAAGAAGAGTTCCTCGGAGCGATCGTACGGGAAGGGCTCGTCGCAGAGGAGTGATGCCTCGGGACTCATGTTGGAAATGAGGTGACGACGGATTCCCTGCGGCGCCTTTTGAACCCGGAGCATTCGATGTAGGGTCCGGTCGTAAAATCTTGCATGTTCGTATGTCGAGTCATGCCGCGTTTCTCGTTCGAATCACCCATCGGGACCCCCAAGTACTCGTGCCGTCTGGTGTGCTCGAGGTGCGGCGGCAGCAAGGCGGACGGTTCGCCTTGCACGCGGACCGTCTGCATCGGCACAGAATTCTGTTGGCAGCACCTGCCCGTCAACGCGAAGCTCAAGATCGCAAAGTCCGGGATCCCTGGCGCCGGCAGCGGCTTGTTCGCCTGGCTCGTCCCTGAGGCTCGAGGCCGGAGCGGTTCGGACGTGGTCTGCTCCAGGGGCGCGAAGATCGCCGCGTACCGAGGAGAGCGCGTCACCGCCAGAGAGCTCTCGAAGCGGTACGGCAGAGCGACGGCACCGTACGGAGCCGGCGACGGCGCGCTCTTCATCGACTCCGCGTGCCGCCGGAGCGCCGGGGCGATGGCGAACGGGTCGGACGGACGTCGAAAGGCCAACGCCGTCCTGGCGGCGGACGCGGGACGAGGCACCATAGAGCTGCGCGCTACGAGGGACATCAGGCACGGCGAGGAGATCTTGTGCGACTACGGCCGCGAATACTGGCAAGGGATCAGAGGCACGGTCGCCCGCACCGTCTGATCACTGCTTCGCGTGCAGCCTGCTCATGTCGTAGCGCTCCACGACTTCCGCTCCCTCCCTTCGCGCGAGTGCGCCTCCATCGGCGCACGCAGCGAGTATCGTGCAGTTGTCGGACGCCCCCTCCTCGCGCAGATCCATGTGCTCGCAGCGCGGGACCAACGCGCCCCGGGCTGCCTCTCCTGCGTCCAGTTCCTTGAGGACTCGGAAGGGGAGGTTGTCCGGGAAGACGGTCGGGTAGACCGCGTCCGCCTGCTCGGCCGCCCTCGCCCCCACGCTCTTGGCCGCCACCAGCAGACGGACGGCGTTCACGGCGGACCTCAGCGTGAAGCGCTCTCGCCTGAAGTAGTCTTTCCGCGTCCACGTCGAGAGCAGGCCCAGCAGGCCCTTCCCGAACGGACGACCGCTTGGAGCCGAGTCCCAATCCTCTCCGCTCCTCCTCGCCGTGAGGAGCTCCAGCAGGAACTTCTGCGAGTCCACGTACGCGTCCATGTTGGCGTCGAACCATCGGAGCAAGAAGCGGCGGCTCGGACGCACCCCGCTGGGCTTCTCGGACCCTGCGCGGAACCCGGTGTCTATGGGAACGATGGCGCCCGCTATCGCCAGGGCGTCGAAGCCGTGCTTGACGGAGTCGACGAACCCGGTCAGGATCGGCACCCAACCGTAGAAGGGAACGTGCAGCGTGCGCGCCACTCCGGACCTGTCGACGAAATGATAGCTGCGGGCTCGTCCGGGGTTCTTCTCTTCGCGGACGAGGACGATGCGGTCGAGGCGCGCGTTGAGGTGCATGATCCCCACTCGAACCAGACACTCCAGAGTGTACACCACCTGCACGATCACGTACAGCAGCTGCTGCTCGTCCAGTAGCGACGGCCCGCCTGTCGGGGGATACAGCGCGTCCATGAGGGTGATGCCATCGGAGCCGCGGTCGTCGGCTCGAAGGTGCGGCGTGACCTTCTCTCTGCGGAGGCGGCGGATGCACCCAGATATCGCGTCCCCCTCCGACATCCTCGCTCCTTGGAACCACCACGAGAAATTTCCGTCGGCATCACCAGGATGGCTTCTCCCGCGAATGGCACGACGGTGGAGCTCCCCGCAGGAGGCAACGCGACGTCCGTGCCCGTCCAGACCCCGGCTCCCGTGGCACCGCCGAACGTCACGAGTACGCCCGCGGTGCCCACCGCGGCTCCCATCCTTCCGGCTCCCACCCTTCCGACTCCCACCCTTCCGGCTCTCACGCCCGCCCCTTCGCCCCCTCGCCCCACCGACCCTCCTCGCCCCACCGACCCTGCACTCCCGTCGCTTACGGACCCGGCCACGGTGCCTCCCTCGACGCCCGTGCCTACGCGTACGTCATTGCCTCTTTCGACGCTCTCCCCGACGCGGCCTCTGATCACGCAGGTCCCCGCTCCCACGCTCGCCCTGCTCACCTCCGCGCCCGCCGTCCCCGTTGCGACGACGGTCACGCCGAGGCCCACCGTCGGAGCGCCCCAGGGCACCCGCGCCCCGACCTTCTTCTCCCCTCCGCCGCCTGCGGACGGGGGGCACGGCGTCGCGGGAGGCACGATCGGAGTCGTCGCGGGGGGCGTGGGGGGCTTTCTCCTCCTGATGCTGGTCGTCGTCGCGGGGATCAGGTTCGCCCTCGGGAGGAGGAGGTCCGAGAGGAAGAGGGGCGGGAGGGCTGTGCTCCCTCTCGCATCCATGGCGTTCCCGGACGTGTCGCCTCCGTCGGAGCCGAGCAGGGTGGGGCGCTCGAGGACCGAGTTCTCGTTCGAGGAGCTCTCGAGGGCCACGGACGGCTTCGCTGATGCGCGCCTGTTGGGCGCGGGCGGCTTCGGGAAGGTGTACAGGGGCGAGCTGAGGGATGGGATGACCGTCGCCGTCAAGTACTCTGTCGTGCAAGGCGATGCCGAAGTCGGGGAGCGCGAGTTCCAGTCCGAATTAGAGGTGATATCCAGGGTCCACCACAAACACCTGGTGTCTTTCTTGGGGTATGCCACGGAGGAGGACAAGCGTCTGCTCGTCCTCCAATTCATGCCCAAGGGGACCCTGTACGACCGAATCCACGCAGACGCGAGTCTCGACTGGGCCGGACGGCTGAGGGCCGCCGTGGGAGCCGCGAGGGGGCTGGCGTACCTGCACGAGGACTGCCGCCCCGCCATCATACACCGCGACATCAAGTCGAACAACATCCTGATGGACGCGAACATGGATGCGAGGGTCGCTGATTTCGGCATCTCGAAGCTGAAAGAGGAATCCTACGCCAACACCCACGTGAGCACCCGCGTGATCGGCACGTTCGGATACCTCGACCCGGCGTACGCGAGCACCGGGCGCCTGACGGCCGAGTCGGACACGTACAGCTTCGGCGTGATCCTCCTCGAGCTGGTCACCGGTCGACAGCCCATCGATGGCACGAGGGGCGCGGGGGAAGAGAGCTTGGTGGCGTGGTCCAGGGGGTTCATAGAGGACGGAGCGTATTTCGGGATCATCGACCCGTTCCTCAAGGAGACCGGGTACAACAGGGACGAGGTCCGGCGCGTGATGAAGACGGCGTGGCTGTGCACGCAGCCCTCGCGACAGGACAGACCCACGATGTCTCAGGTCCTGCGGTACTTGGAAGGGAACGCGCGGGCCGGCAGTCCGCGACGCCCGGAGCGCGATGCCTTGACGATGTTGGCGGACGAGATGTTCATGACCGGCCGATGAGTACGCTGTGATTATGTACGCGACGGGGTCGTCCCCAGCTTTTCCAAGAGGGTCTCGCCGTTGTCTCGCGTTGCCTTGGTAGCACTCAAGTGTTCGATGCTGAGTATGTCATACTCCTAGCGAATTCCCTAGTCAAAGAACCATAAGACACAGTAAAGAATGCGTCTTGTAAGTGCTACTTGGAAGATCTGACCCTAGCGGATTCCCGAGTCAGAAACGCCACAAGACACAAGACAGTAAGACGCATTTTGTTGGAAACTTTCCTGAGATTCTCGAGATCGTGGCGGATCTAGATCGTCCATCCGATCTCAGGGGCTTTCCAAAATAATGCGTCTTACTGTCTTACTGTCTTAACTGAGAGATCCACTACGGAAATCAGACTCGAGGATCCTCCGTAAGACACATTAAAAAATGTGTCTTATTAACAAATTCACTAGGGATACCGATCCCGCGAGTGACCGGCCAAGACACATTCTCTTCGAACTTCCACGTCAGCATCTCGGAGCTTCTCGTGAGCTCTGCGAAGTTCAAGATTCTGCTCGCACGCAAGTCACAGACTCACAGAGCATTACACGCGCAAGACATGCGGCAGATGCGTCGTCATAAGGGACGACCTGGGAACGGGAACGAGACGATGGCGTACGACACCATTTTCTCGTGTTCTACGTAGGCACATGGATACCGGAGGACGAATCGTGGTTTGAGTGAGAAGCTGATCGCTGGAATCAATCCCATCAATCAAACCACTGTAAACATATTCACTGGCATCGGCATACTGTTCGCGTTCATCATCACATTCATCACGTTCGCTGTCGTGCCGTCCAAAAGGGTGGATCCGGACACCAATAAAACAAAGGGCAATATGCTATTCAAACTAGCGATCACGGCGGTGGTGGGAATGTTGTCGTTCCTCATATGCGGCGCACTGGGTTACCACCAGGGGAAGCGAATCGCATTCTGTTTAGCGAACCCGAAGGCATGCGCCGCGACTACGGGAGCGTCAATGATGTTTGACGTGTTTGATTAACTAACTATCTCAAGGTTTCTCCGACTTTCGAAGACTCGGGCTCCGCCTTTACGATTACTTCACGAAGGTCTGGTGGCGCTGATTCTCTTCTCTTTAGACGCGACAGAGCTACCGAGAGGGCGAAAGCGTACGCTACCAGCACGGCTCCCCCATATGTCAACACTCCTGAGTCCAGGCGTCTCAACGACATCTCCAGGAAGTGACACATCCCGACCCAGAGCACTCGCAGGGCGTACGCGCAGGGGGGTAGTGGCAGCTCCCCGAACATGGCCAGGGCTACTACGCCGTCCAGGATGATGACAGACAACCAGCTCACCGGCACCCCGTCGGATGTCATACTCACGACCAGGATGAGCGCGAGCCCCAGCGCCGCGTCCAGGACGTGCAGCGCCGCCAATAGTCGATTCATGTGTCGGTGTCCACGGAGGCTCTCTCCAGCAGTCTCTTCTTGTGCAGCGCCACGTAGAGGTCCTGGCACTCGTAGAAGTCCGGCCGCTCGGCCTTGCGGAGCACCGCCAAGCTGGAGTGCAGCCATGCCAGACGCTCCGCTGATCGGATGCCTCGCTCGGTGGCGTCGTTCCGTGCTAGGCTCTCCACGTCTGCGATGCGGATGTCGGCTCTTTTCGGGGCGGTGTGTATGATGTGACCGGGAGTAGGATCGGAACGGCCCATATCTTTTTTTGACTCGCTCTCCATGCTTCGGTCGGGCTTTGTACGGGAACCCTTCGATGTATAGTCGGGTACTCTGAATCGCAGAATAAAGGGATGGCGTGCGTTCTTCGGGCAACAAAATCCGGCACGATTCCCAGAAGAGAGACGCCGATGGGGAGCATGGAGGGCGGAAAGGGCATCTTCGAGGACGACCCGCAGCGGTACACGGTCTTTCCGATCAGGTATCCGGATCTGTGGCGCTTCTATAAGCAGGCGGTGGCCGGCTTTTGGACCCCGGAGGAGGTGGACCTGAGCTGCGACGACTGGAACAGCCTGAGCGAGGCGGAGAAGCGGTTCGTCAAGAACATACTGGCCTTCTTCGCCACGGCGGACGGGATCGTGGTGGAGAATCTCGCGCTGCGCTTCTCCAAAGAGGTCGGGGCTATGGAGGCGCGGATGTTCTACCACTTTCAGGCCGCTATGGAGAACATACACGGGGAGACGTACGGGATCTTGCTGGACCACTACGTCGACGACGAGGACGAGAAGGCGGCGTTGTTCGAGGCGATCACGACGGTACCGTGCATCGCCAAGAAGGCGGAGTGGGCGCTCAGGTACATAAGCGACGACTCGAGCTTCGCGACGCGGCTGGTAGCGTTCGCGTGCGTGGAGGGCATCTTCTTCTCCGCCAGCTTCTGCGCCATCTTCTGGCTCAAGAAGAGGGGCATGCTCCCGGGGCTCACGTTCTCTAACGAGCTGATCTCGCGGGACGAGGCGCTACACACGGCCTTCGCCTGCCACCTGTACTCGAAGGAGCTCTCGAGGGAGAAGCGGCTGTCGGAATCCGAGGTGGTGAAGATCGTGAAGGACGCCGTCGACATCGAGATCGAGTTCGTGCGGGGTTCGTTGTGCGACCTGGCGGGGATGAATGCCGCCCTCATGGGACAGTACGTGAAGTTCGTGGCGGACAGGCTGCTCGTGGATCTGGGTCACGGGAAGGCGTACGACGTGCAGAATCCGTTCGACTGGATGGAATTCATAAGCGTCGAGTGCAAGACCTCCTTCTTCGAGTCCAGGGTCAGTAGCTACCAGAAGGCGGGAGTCATGGAGAAGCTAGAGTCGAACGACGGGTTCGCAGACGACGATTTCTGAGCTCAGGAACAGCAAGTGTACTTGTAAGCGAGAGTGTTGGAATCGGGTCCGCCCGGCTGTATCGCTCCGAAGGACTTGAGGACCTCTCCTTTTTGACACTGCACGGTATGTTTGTCCAAGAATCGGACGTTCGCCTTCGCCTTGCCGTATGCCGCAGCACCCGGTGGCGCTACGCCCGAGGGCCCCCATCCGAACGGCGTCGTGGCCGTCGTCACTTCTCTGCATGATTTCTTGGCCGTCGGGCAGCACGTGTAGTCGTATCGTATCTTGCCCGCATTGATGCCATCGGGCTGCACCATCTTGAACTGCGATATCTCTTCCCCGTCGTTGCAAGCCACGACCTGCCTGTCGAGATACTCCGGGTTGCCGCCACCGTCATCGTCCTTGGTGGTCGAAACGGTCCTACACTTGTCTTTCGCGACCGAGTCCGCGGACGATGCACACGTGTACGAGTAATGAACTTTGCCCGAGTCCGCTGCCTGTTGAGAGAAGACGAAGGAGTTGAGGCCTCCGTTGACCTGGTCGTCCACGAAGCAATTGACGTTCTGACGGTCCAGGAATCGGAGATTGCCCCCCCCATCATCATCGAATGGCGTCGTGTGGTCCACGTATATATCGGAGGCTGGGATCGGTACGGTGGACGCAGGAAGCGCGTTCGCTGCGACGGGCGTCGATGAAGTCGTTTGTGACTTGATCCCGTAGTAGATCCCCGTCGCGGCGCCCACGATGACGACCAATACCATCAAACATACCAGGAGGCGCTTCCAGAACGGCATAGCTGCGCTCGATGACCTCAGGCGAGAAATTTTTCGGCTGCTCGGAGTGTCCTACGAATGCTCCCCCCTTCAAAACGATGAGATTTCATGCCATCATTCATATTTTTCCGCGATCGCGGAAGACCATGGCGGCTTCTCTCACGGACGATCACAGCTTTTTCGCACAGTGTACCGTCCACCCGGCGTTCTCCGTTCGATTCTTCTGCATCGATTGCGATGGGGGGTGCTGCGACCAGTGTGCCCTGGAGGAGCACGCGCTCCACAGCGTCATTCAGATGCGTCGTGCTTTGGGTGCTCATGCGGTCCGTCTGGATGAGATGCGCGTACTGGGCGATCGGTACGGGCTGCCGCCGGACCAGGTACAGCAGCACGCCATCGACGACGCCGTCCTCGTGTTCCTGTCGACAAACCCGCCCGGTCGAGCGACGTTAGGGACCGGATGTCGTACCTGTTTCCGCCCGCTGGTGCCCGATATGGGCGCCGCCTTCTGTTCGGTCAAGTGCTGGAGCACCCATCCGCTGCAGCTGTTGGCTACTGTGGCTATTTTGGAGTTCGATCGGACGGTTTCGGAGTGTCGGCGACGTAAGAAGCGTCGCATATCAGTCGAACGGTAGGAAATGTTCTTGGGACGCTCGATCGTCCGACCTGAGAAACCCGCGGTGCACGCGTACATTTGCCGTATGTCCTTTCACCGTTGCACTTTGCGAAGCATTCGTTCAATTACATGCGACCTTGTATGCATACGGGCTGGCTGACGGCGGGACACTCGCATGCTCGCACGTCGACCGTGCCCGTCGACATATGGAATGATAGGAGCGAATGTAGCAATGTCGACGCCATTTGCGATCTTCGAAGATTTTATTCCGCCCATATGAGAGGCTCGGCGTGCATGAGTTCGCATGCATGTAACCACGTCACGCACGCGGGTCATCCCTGCGGTCGGCACGTAAGAGGCCGGTCGAAGTACTGCTGGCAGCATCAGCGAGTGAGCGCGCCATCCGAAAGGCCGCGGTACGAGAGAACCCCGCTCGAGATTGAAATGGGGGTCCCCCCTCCCGATTTCGAGATACTGCCGAGCACTTGGGGGGCGTCCGCGGTCGAGAGAACCTCCAAGATGGGGTCGTCCACGGTCGAGACCGCACCGACCGATCGGATCGACGCGGTCGCCGCGCGTCTATATGCCCTCTCTGGCCTCGCTGCGGGTATCTTTCGTGCCATGAGACCGATAGTGTTGTCGAAGGGTCGCCTTCTGGACCTCGTATCGGGAACGGTGCGGCATATCTCCGTCGAAGACGTATCGCATATCGCGACTATCGTGTCTGAGATTCCCGTCGATGCGCCTTTGGCGAGCGTGATCGCTTCCAAACCCGCTTATCTTTCGGCGGCCACCGTCGCATCTCTAAAGAACATCATGACCCCCAGTCGAGGGTACTTGTCTCAACTGGTTCCGAGCCTCCTGGAAAAGCCCCATACGCTCATATCGATGGAAGAATTCACGCGCTTCGCCTCTCCGTCTGCTATTGTCACTCGGGCCTGTCCGACCCTGTCGATGTCGAGTCCATTAGGCGCTGCGATATTATCCGCAGGAGACGTCCTCCCTCGGTCCGGCTTGATCGATCTGGAGAGCTTCGTGAACGCGACGACCACGACCTGCCAGGCGAGCACGACGAATGTCTTGGGCCTCCTTCCGTCGATGTCCCCAACGCTCGCACTCGCCCTCGGTGGGGCAGCCGTCGGGATTTCGTTGGCGTATATGTATTACAGATACCTTCGCCCCGACGCGGGTGCGGACGTCCTCGATAATCTCGTCGAAGAGGATATAGACATGAGGTTGGACGACGTCGACCGTCTACTAGCTACGCAGAAGCGCTTTCTGGACCGGGAATGGACGAGAAAGTTCACGAGATGTCAGTTCCGCAACCTCGTGTTGGCGCAGAAGTTGAGGAAGCTGATGGATGATAGACAGTTTTACGACGCGAGCGATGAACCGCTTCAGTCGTCGAACGTGCCACCCAGCAGCGCGGGGAGCGGGGCGAGCCTTCCACCCTCGCCGCCCTCGACGGGCACCCCAGCTTCGGAACCGGTGAAGGAGCTGGCCAATGTCGATCACGCCGAGATATTCTTCGATGGCATTTTGGACATGATCGAGCAGAATTTTGAAGACGTTCGCGACGAGTTGAATGAGAGAGGCCGATCGGAACTGCAGGGCTTCGTGACGAAGGCGAAAGAGAACCACCAGGAGGCCAAATCATTGATCTCACGGTGGAAGACCGATCCTCTGTCCGAACTCGAGCGTAAACGACTGTTCGAGCTATACAAAAGCATATCGGATATCTATGTGAAGTCGATCGCACGAACACCCTCAGGCGACGGGTGGTTGAACTCGACTTCGGCACCTCCGCCGCCCTCGAGAGGCGGGCAGCCGCCACCACCCGCACCTCCACCGCCTTCGCAAGGCGGGCAGCCACCGGCACCTCCGCCGCCCTCGAGAGGCGGGCAGCCGCCACCACCCGCACCTCCACCGCCGTCGAGAACGGGGCAGCCGCCACCACCCGCACCTCCACCGCCCTCGAGAACGGGGCAGCCGCCACCACCCGCACCTCCACCGCCCTCGAAAGGGGGACAGCCGCCACCCCCGGCACCCCCTCCACCTGGTGGCCGCGGAGGGACTCTCTTATCGACGGCTGCGAACGGAACGTCGAGGAACCTGTCTTCGTCGGCTCTTCCGGCATCGTTGCGTGGAAAGTTCGTCCCTAGACCCAAGAGCGACGGGATCATCCGATTCTCGGCGCATCCGATAACATCTTCAGAGTCCAGCGAACAGGTGTTCTACCCTAACGCAGATGGAGACATCGATGTCTGGTATTCATCCGGAATGCGTTCGATCCTCGACCCGACGACGTAAAAATATTCGGTATGCTATTCTACAGACATGCCGCCACCCCCGCCACCACCGCCACCCGGCGGACGAGGAAGGGGTCCGCCACCACCGCCACCGCCGCCTGGGGAACGAGGAGGGGGTCCGCCACCACCGCCACCGCCGCCTGGGGGACGAGGAGGGGGTCCACCACTTCCGCCACCGCCGCCAGTAGGAGGGGGAGGGGCTACTCGTCCAGAACCACCGGCGGTTGCGACGACTCATTGCTCTGCCGATCTGAGCTGGCAAGCGGCGAATCCAATCAGAGCTGAATTTTGGAGATCGTTGAAAAGATCATGGGGAGTCGATTGCCTCGCCAACATGGGATCGACGGCCGCCGAGCTGTTCCAAGTGATGGATCAGGAGGTATTTCTGGGGAGAAGCAGGATGGAGAAGGATTTCAAGCTGAGCGACAAACTCGAGGCCAGCGAATATATCGTTCGCATGGTACGTTTCCTGAGGGAAGAACTGTCGGCGTTGGAAGATCTCCTCATCCTGCTCGATAAGTTCGAGACGGCGATTTCAGCAGCGCCTCCCGAACTGACCAAGAGGTTCAAGTTGCGCATTCCCGACAGGCGAATCCCCGGCTTGCCGGATACGGAGTCTCCCATAACCGTGGACAACATCAAGGAGGTGTCGGACCGTCTGCGGACGGAATTTCGGACGAAAAGCGGTTCCCTGGCGTCGCTGACGTACGTGAGCCAGACGTACAAGGTCTGCTGTGTCACTTACTCCCACATCCTGATCGACCTTCTCGGGTTATCGACACCGCCTCTACCGATCCTGAAATCGATGATTCAAACCGATATCCCGAAGTCGCTCAAGGGTTCGAGCACGTGGATCGAAAAGGTTCCGACGGAAGAACCCGTGGATCGAGCGTTCGCGAGGATGATACTGTTGTATCCGGACCTATATAAGAAAGCATCGGCGATCAAGGAAAAGTACGAGGAACGTCGGAAAGGTGCACCCCCCAAAAGCACACCGAAAGTGCAGGTGGACCCTCTGGTGTTGGGATTGCGGGAGTTCGGTCGCCCGATCGTCCGCGATGCGATCGTCATGTCTTACGCTCTCGAACGTGCCATTCGTGAGTTGGAAAGTACGGGGAACCTGAGCGGGGATAACGACTGTCTCGACTATCACCGGAGGGTTTACGAGTTTTATACCAATGCGATGGATGCCGATTCGGCCGGATATAACGGTATCGTCGCACGGAAGGCGGATCCGTTGACGGAAGCGATGAAACGTGCGTCGGTCGTTCAGAACAAATCCGTGACGTTGCACGGCAAACAGGCGTTCTATCCACGACGCTTCTTGGACGCCTTTCTGGGTGCCCATGATGAGATAACCACCGGTACCATGTTCTTCCTCTTCGTCGACGTGGTGAAGATGATGAGGGAAGTGTTGATTAAGAAGGAGCAACAGCAAGACTACGCCATCACGAGGAACAAGCTCATCAAGATCGGCAATCTGAACGCCGCGAACCGGATACCATATCCGGCGCACTCATTGCGGGCGACGAACATAGAGCTCCGGCACGTGCCGTCCTCCGACATGGATCCTAAGAATATACGTAACATGGCTATGCTGGTGAAGACGATGTTCAAGAATGAGGATGGGCTGATGAGGGCCGTGGGAAGCTACATGTTTCAAGAGGTCGAGAGAATCCGTTCGGGACAGAATGGGGCAGCAGTACCTTTGGCGAACAAAGCTTCCTTGTCGAACATCATGAAACGAGCTACGACGAATTGGACGAACATATGATTCTTTTTCCGCTATGAGTAGTACACGTCTGCGCATCACCATGGAGTACGGTCATGATCCGAACGGAGAGTGCGATTCGCGGCTCTTGTTCTTCTCGCTGCGAGACTTCCCCATCACGTGCGACAACGAACGCGACCCCGTCTCGTACGAGGCACTCAAACCGTTCGTGGCACGAGACTCCATCGTGTACGAATTCTCGCCGGACGGCAGCACGACATGCTGGGATGCTGCGAGTCTGTACATGACCCTCTGCGCGATGCGGGACCGGGCTGGCGGCCGAGGGCCGTACCGTCATCCGATCCATGGGTGCATCGTGCCATTTCCCAACGTGGAGCTAGTGTATCTGACGGCCTGCACGAGCGGCCCCTTGATGAAAGCGGCCATGAAGAAGATGCTGTGGGACATCGCCACGGCAGCCATCGCTGGCACCGGGGTCGTCGTGACTTGTCTGGCTACGTACCAACTGTGCGTTGAACCTGTGACGTTGCTACACCCGCTTCAACGGTTGGTCGGAGTCACGGTGACGGACGACCTTGCGAAGACCATCCTACATGCGACGGTCACTTCGGCGGGTATGCTCAGCGCCATACATTCTGGTGTAGCGGGATATCGCGCGAAACGACAGCGGGATAAGCAGCAGGAGTACGGACGTCGGCTCGTGAAAAAGAAAGCCTCGGAGTCGAAGTGGGCGGTGTACGGGGAGCTCAAGCGCAAGAGGCGGGGAAAGCGGTCTGAAGACGGTGCTCATTTCGCACGACCGAGCGGATCGCTTCGGAAGCAGATGGCCATCCTGACCCTGAGACGACGAGGGTTGCCGAACGAGCTGATACGCGAGATCGGGCGCCGCGCTGAGCTGCCCGGCATGGAAGAGACGCCGCAAAAACGAACCCGAGCTTCCCCATCATGATGTTCGCGAGGGGCAGCTGCTCCATTTTTTGCTGCGGCCTGCATCTTCGTTCTTTCGGTATGCGCGGCTGACGAGAACCCGCAGGCGTCGACGATTGCAAGAACTACTTCTTGTTTCGCATCAGAGCCTTGATGTTCTTGATCAGGCCAGTGACGACCAACGCCCACACGACCAAGAGAACAACGGCGCCTATGAGTAGTCCATACGCCTCCCTGTCACCGATCCACTCCCCGAAAAGAAAGTAGAGGATCGCAGAGATGCAACACAATTCAACAAAGTACCCCAATATGAACAATCCCTGACTTGTCGTCGTCGACCCAGTTGTTGGAAAGATGATTGGCGCTACAAACTGCAGGAAGCCTATCTGTGCATCGGTTTTATCATCTTGATACGAGGTGATGGCTGCAGCAGCCGAAGACATTTGTACATGTTCACGTGTGCAGAAAAAAAGCTTTGTATGATACTCGTGGGACGTCCCCCGAAGTGCGGTAGCACTCAAGAGTTGTTGGAACTATCCGCTGAGCGTACAAGCGCCATGTGCCGAGGGATTTTGAGGAGTTCTCGGTCGGACGTATCGAGAAATACAAGCCTTGCAAGGTATTTGTCGAGCCCATGCCGGTGTCATATCTTAGCTTGGGATGGAAGAGACGCCGTAAAAACGCGCGCGCGCTTCCCCGTGATGATATCCACGAGGGGAGCGGCTCCCGTCTTTCCGCGCACCGACCGATGCGGCGTGCACAGCTGAAATTTTTATAAGTATCGATTCAAGATCCGGAATGTCGCCACTCACGGCCGTAGATCTCTTCACGGGCATCGGTGGGGTGTGTCGGGGGCTCGAGGGGCTCGTCGCGCCCGTTCTGCACTGCGACATATCCCAGGACTGCCAGAATGTGCTGCGAGCCAGAATGGAGGACGGATCCATCCCGCCCTGCCAGATCGTCGGGGACATCAAGGAGCTGACGTTCGACGAAAGCCACCGCGAGCCGGTGCAGATCATTCTCTCCTCGTGGCCTTGCACGGGTCTGTCGATCATGGGCAAAAGCGAGGGCTTCGGCAACCCGCACTCTGCGCTCTTTTACGAGGTCATGAGACTGATCGACGAGACGAAGGCGCCCGCCGTATTCTTCGAGAACGTCCCGAGAGTGTTGACGCTCGTGATGGACGACGTAATACATGAGCTCAACACTCTCCGGGGCTACGACGTGAGATGGATCGTCGTGCCGGCGTCGGCGGTAGGGGCACCTCACGTGCGTGAGAGATGGTTCGCTCTCGCCACACTCCCCGGCTTCGCAAAGAGATGGGACGACCTCGAGTACGACCGTTTCGATTGGTCTCACGCCAGCGCTCCGCCTCGTATGTGCGAGCCGCGCACGGATCCCGAGCGGGATGTGCGCTGCTCGCAGGCAGCGCCGTGGTCCCCGATTGCGCTCGCCTGGCATTCATGATGTTGGTCAGCGGGTTCAGGGAGACGGACGTCGAGGCGAGCACCCTGGAGTTCCAGCACCCGGACATCGAGAGTAGCTCCGTGAGGCTGGTGGATGTGACATGCAAGGGATGGCCGCGTGTGGGGTTCCTGGGAAACACGGAGGAAGGGCCCCTGGTGTACGCCGTGCGCCTTCCCGCTTTCAAGAGACCCCGTCTGCACATTCGGCTGAGGGGCCACGATGCGATTCCAGAGAAGCTATTCAAGCTAGTCTCGACGCCGATCGTCCTAGGCGAGCGCTCCATCCCCTCATGGTCCACTCCGCGCTTCGGCAGCATCTGGGCATGTAACGTTCTCACCGAACGCTCCATCCGCGACTTGCCCATACAGCTCAGGTTCGCAATAGACACACCGGCCGATCAAAAGAGCTGGCACATGAGCGCGGACTTCTGCACGTGGCTGATGGGGTTCCCCCCGGCGTACACGGTCACTCGAGTATCCCGGGAGCCCGACGATGGCGCCGCGGTCGTTGCATGCGTCGAATCGAGTTCGATAAATATCAGCTCATGAGAAGTAAGTCGGAGATATGTTGGCCCTGGGTAGCGTCCGGACGTTCGGGCTGCTCGACCGGCTTTCGGAGGGGACGGCACGTGCCATGTCTTCCGCGCGAAAGCCGCTCGAGCCTCCAGTTCCACGGATTCTGTGGCCGCACTTCGGAGAGAAGGGACCGCTGGTGGCCGCGAGAGGACGCGAGAGGACGCGAGAGCGTTCGACGGCGCGGCCGGAGAGACGTCCGATTCTTCGCTTAAGGAAGGCAGGCGCCCCCAGGGAGCCCGAGGATCCCGAAGATGGCACCGACGGTGGGCGTGAAACGGAAGGCGGCGACGATCACGTTGGCGGCTGATACCGACGGGGGACGCGCGAAGTCGGTCCGGGACGCGAAAGGATGGGCGGCGGACTGGGGTGCCACGATACGGGCGTTGACCGCGACGAAGCAGGGAGGGGAGGACGCAGGCTATCGCGCCGACACCATGCGGAGCCCTCGGGGCGGGTTGCTCGTAGATTCGGACAGGAGCATGCGGCGGCGGCTGATCTCCGACATCAACCAGGGAAGGAGCGAGATGAGTTCGATGCTGGCGGAGATGCGAGACAGCGGGAGGGTGCCACCTTTCATGGACGAGCGGGATCGGCAGCTCCGGTATAGGGTGGCCGTCTTTCGGAAACGGCTGATCGGTGAAGGGCGCGAATTTCGCGAGGAGCTGATTCCGGAGTGGACGGGTCGGTGTGCGATGTGTCTGAGAGAGGGCCTCCCGCTCAAGGAAATGGGATTGGTGGATTACGAGTGGGCCTGCGGGAGTTGTCGTTCTGGGAGTCGCGATCATTCGATTCGCGATGGCGTCCGCCGAAAGATCGACGAGTGGTTGGCGGAGCTATCGCGTACGACGACCGGGGAGCTGAACGAAACGATACTTCAGCTTCGGGACGTGCGAGACAAGATAGTCAAGTTGGCATCCGAGAGAAAGACATCCGGAGAGGAGGAGGTCGAGAGAGAAGTTGTACGAGAGTGGGAAAAGAGGGCATTTGAAACGATTTACTGTAACGCACCGTTAGAGGAGTTGGACGCCCGGTCGTTGACGTTAAAGGAGCTCGACGAGATGCGGACTTCCGAAACGAAGTTGAGGGACGACGTCGCGAAGCAGCACCAGACGGTGTTCTATGAGAGGAATCTTCTAACCTTGATCGGGAATTCGGTGAAGCGGAGGCAGAGTGATTACATCCGGCGATTTGAGGCCCGTGAGAGAAAGTTCTTGAAGACAGACGAGGCCATATGCCGCTGGAATGAACAGGGTGGGCGATGCGATAGATGCAAGGATCCCTTGAGCTGGAACTGGGCCATAGGAGGGCGTGCTCATCTCGCTCAGTTAGACCGCGTCGATGTGACCAAGATGAGCTACGTGGACAATTATGCTTGGCTGTGCCAAGCGTGCAATCTGTTGAAGGGCCTGACGGAAGACTTGTTAGCGTACGATCAACATCTCCTAAACGCGCTAGACCACGTTGCCTCAGAATGTGACCGAGTACTCGATGTACTTAATGAAGCGTTAGAATTACAACGGTCAAGACAGGTTATGGTGAAGAACAAAAGCACTTAGTGGTGATAAATAGAATAATTGGGACGGATTGAATGGATTTTTTTTCTGGTATATATGTTGACAGGATTGTCCAAGGTGCACGGGCCCCCCAGGGGCACAAACGATCTAGCGGAACCGAGACTCTCGGTTCCGCTAGATCGTTTGTGCCCCTGGGGGGCCCGTGCACCTTGACGCGTCCGTCCCCTGGGGGCCGTCGGCCCCTAGACGGCCCGTGCCG